GTTGCTAGTCATTGGCTTTGATTTTTATGCTAACGATGGCTTCCAAAGTCTATTAAATTAAACAAAGTTTTCCCACGATCTCAATATAGCCTAGGCTACATGTAGGCCTACATCTGTATCACGTTTATCAAGAGATAATGTAACGTGGAGAATCGAACTAATTAAGGTCGCAAGTAAGTCTCAAATAAATGTTTTTTCAACTAACCACTATTTCGTAAGCTCGCATTTAAAATAAATGCAATTATGGATCACGTTTTGGTCAAACGTAACATCCTATCTGAAAGTTATATTTTGCAAATTACTTACAGGATCAATCATTGGCATGTTTGTTCCGTCAGTTACAATAGGGAACGTTAACGGGACACACAAGAGGATTTTGGACGCGTCTTAACAGCATGAATCGCTCTTTGTTGAACTTAGCCTACCTGAGGAGAATCAAAACTTTTAAAACATAAATTGTCAGATAGATGGCCTTAATCAATACCGCAAAAACTAATCATATTTAACGCCCATTATTCAACCTCAGTAGTTAGCAGTCATGACAAACTTGATTTTTCGCTTTTTTTTCCAAAATTGTTGCAGAGTTATGGCGAGAGTCAGAAAAGGAGGATTAAAGGATAAAAAGTCGGGAGAAAATGCCCCTCATTCCAGGAAAATTTGTTAAAATAGGAGTTTTAGCGCCAAAATCCTATTTAGTGTACCTTTAAATATATCTTGTGTAAATGAATATATGAAATTTTTTAAGGTAGCAATATACAACGGAATATCTCCTTAAACGAACAAGTTGTCCCAAAATCCCATATATCTACAGAAAACTTATTTCAACAAACAAATACACTCCTTGCCGCATGATATTTTGACAAATCTGAAACAATATTTAGACCACAAATGGAAAATACTTTATTTAATGCTTATTTTACCGTAGGTAGGGTGTATTTTCCCGGGTATTTTTAAAATTCAGTGACAAGCAAACTAAAGCTGCTCAAAAATTATGTAAGTGACGATCTCAAAAGGATGTTAGCACCTCGCAAAAGAAATTCTGGTCAAAATTATACTTTCATTTTTTTTTTTTTGTACAAACGGCGTTCCAAAGCGGTCAGCTTCCGTTTGCCAATGTTATGTCAGTGTCCCATCTATATTTCTAACAATTTCACAGATAAATCAATGACTGTGTACATAAACAAACTCCTGTTACTCACCAGCATGTATCCACCTACAAGGGTAGTCGGCTCCTTGTATTGCTCTGTGAACTGCCGCTAGAGGACGCTACAAGCGCTGTTACGCGACTCGTTTTTTAATAAATGAATTCCCACAAAATGACATTTCATGTTGACTTATTTATAATCGTACTTTATTGGGGAAAAAAAAGATTCATATATTGACCTTGTTCATGCACGATGCATTTTAGCATGCCGGAAAGAAAATTGTCATAATACAATTAGAGCTGTGCGCACGCTGCTATCAGTGACCTACTTTTCAAAAACTGCGGGAAACAATGACAAGAATGCCAGCAGCATATGTGTCGGACACATCTGGCTCTTTCTTGTCGGACATATCTGGCCTGTCGGACACATCTGGCTCTTTCTTGTCGGACACATCTGGCCTGTCGGACACATCTGGCTCTCTTTTGTCGGACACTTCTGGCGTGTCGGACACATCTGGCTCTTTTTTGTCGGACATATCTGGCCTTCTCTGGTCGTAGGTCATATCTGGTCTGTAGGACATATCTGGCCGTCACAGTAGTTCCCATCAGTGTAAATATCAGCTCTTGGCATGTTGCTTATCTTTCATAACTGTTCTTTTTGTCCTTCCCCATGTTCTTTGCATTTCTCCTACCTTCTGTATCTTGTTCTGATTAAATTTCATGGAGCCTTTTCTGTGATCTTTTGATGATTTGACATGCAATAATTTTTGCTTTGTTTCTTTATTATTCTTCAAGGTGAATTAACCTTGGGTTTATCAGTTCTTGTTATGTTTTTCTGTTAGATGGATCAGATTTAAGAAGGCTTCTTCAGTTTTTATATTTCTTTATAATATAACTTTGTCATTGCATGTGTCTCCTAAGTTGTTTATTGAAGTAAACAGCAGTTTTACTGAATGAATGACTTGTGCTTTGGTGTTTGCCTTCTCTTTTATTTGCCTCCACTTTAATATGTATCCCCCAATTTGAAAATGTTTTGACCAGTCAGTGGCCTGTTCACCTGTATCTAGTGAACTGTGGGAAATGTCATTTGGGCAGGGGGGTATTTATTATATTCCCTATATGGCAGTTTTTACCCCCAGTCTCCACTTAATATATGCATTTATATAACTTTTTTTTTACATTAGGTATAGTGGCTTAGTACAGTGTTTTATTTTTGCAATCAAGTCAGTTATTGTACTGAAGTGACCAAAAGCTTAATTTACCACCTAGAATAATAAAGATTACAGATCAGAGCACTCAGTGCTTATAATGTCATAGAAATGCTTTATTATATGTTAACTTAAGAAAATATTTATTGTGTTAGATATAATATGGTCTATGACAGGAATTGTATATGCAGCGCTTTAGTGTAGGAAATGTGGTAAGATTGCTTTTTTGGTCCTGTTTTTTTTACATTTTATAATTAATTTCCCATGAAGGAACTTCTATATAGATGATGAAAGTTTCACATTACTTGTTGGAATATTTTACTTTAATGTGACTCCTGTCAAGACTTTTATCAAGTAATT